CAGAGATCCCTGAAAGGGAATATGGGTTTGCAAACTATTTGCAAACTATGCACAAGGCGCATAGTTCTTCCCGTTTTATTTATTTATTTATTGATTTAATTAATTAATTAATATTGCTGCCTATTCGCCCATGGCAACTGGAGGTGGCTTACACAATGTAAAACTATATAAAAAATAAAAATAATAAAAACTAACAAAAAGAATCAAATAAATTAGTAAAGTACAATAGAACAAAATTTGGGAAAACAAAAAACAAAAACAAAAAACCAACTCCCACCCCCCCCTCCCCAATGACAGAAGATCACACTAGCCACCTGATGGGCTCTATCACTCTCTGGGTTCCCCAGACCCGCTTCAGTGCCTTTCGGAAGAGTATTAGTGAGGGGGCCATTCTAATCTCTGGGGGAATGATGTTCCAGAGAAATAGAGCCACCACGGAGAAGGCCCTTTGTTGTGTTTCAAGGGAAAGAGAGGCTTAGACCAGGGCATGCAATTAACACGTTTATTGAAGGAACAGTGGTTGTCGCGTCTGCCAGCCAAACGGGCAGACTAGCTTGCGAACAACGGCTGGCTTGGTTTGACAGCCGGCTTTTTATAGCCGGCTGTCAACCGACGCCAGCCAATAGGAACGGCTGTTGAACTTGCTTAACGAGTGGACCCGGTTGGAGCCCCAACCGGTTCCCAAGACATAACACCCTTCTTCTGGGTCCCACCAGGTATATCTCCCTCGGGGTGGGACCCACATTCCCTGCCTCCTCACTCCAATGGGTCGGGGTGGATGTGACTGGAAAGAGATGTTTCCTTAGATAACCTGGACCCAAGCCATGAAGGGCTTTAAAGGTGATGACCAGCACCTTGAATTGCATCCAGAAGCAAATCGGCAACCAATGCAGCTCCTGTAGGAGAGGTGACACATGTGCACACCGGGGTCCGCATAAAACCATGCAGGTCACTGCATTTTGCCACCAATGGGCAAGTTTTCTACCCATCTAGAACACTGAAAGCATTTTGACTTTCTGAAACCTGGATACTTTTCAGTCTTGACAAAACCCAAAATTTCAAAAAGTCTGTTTTGAAAGAAGAAGCTGAAAGTTTCATTATACAACTCCACGCTGTCAGGCTCTTAAGCTGTTCCCAGACTGACAATTACATCCCATTATACCAAGCTTCCTGCCTCTGGCACTGAAATGTTTTATATATTTAACAGATGGAGCATGTGTCCTATTTTCAAAGAGAACTACAGTGCTATTTCTGCTGAATTTCTTCCCTTACAAAACAGAATTTGGCAGAAAGAAGAAAGAAAAGAGAAAAATATAAGAGGGGAAAGGTATTTTTAAAGAGCTTCTTGAAGCAAGAGGAATCAAAGTTAGTACAAAATATAACAACAGTACAGAGAAAGTATTCTCATGACTTTGAATGGGCATACCATGTCATTTTTCATCTACAAGGGCACAAATGGGAGAATAAGATCCCAGCTTACTCCTTGATCCACTTCTCTTGGATTATCCAGGTCTTGCTGATTTTAGGCAAAGAATGCTAACTAGCAAAACCATAGAGATTCACTACCTGAGGGATCCTAGAACTTGGCAGAAGTTTTGTATTGCTTGAAGACTGTAAGATTTGAAAGACACGCTGACAAATCTGTCCAGGCATACAGCAAGAAAAGACATGATCCTACCAGCAACAGTGTACCACTACCAAAGGTATACCACCAGATTACAGATGAAAGGGACCTTGTAGGTCATCTAGTCCAACCCCTCACCAAGCAGGAGACCCTACACCATTTCTCACAAATGGCAGTCCAATCTCTTCTTGAAAGTCTCAAGTGATGAAGCTCCCACAACTTCCAAGGGCAAGTTGTTCTATTGATTGATTGTTTTTTACCGTCACAAAGTTTCTTATTTCCAGGTTAAATCTCTCCTTGCTCAGTTTCCATCCATTATTCCTTGTCTGGCCTATAGGTGCTTTGGAAAATACCTTAGTTACAATACAGGTAGTCCTCGACTTACAACAGTTTGTTTAGTGACTGTTCAAAGTTACAATGGCACTGAAAAAAGTGACTTATGACCATTTTTCACACTTATGACAGTTGCAGCATCCCAATGGTCACGTGATTTACATTTAGATGCTTGAGAACTGGTTCATATTTATGATGGTTGCAGTGTCTTTAAGAGTCACGTGATCGCCTTTTGCAATCTTCTGACAAGCAAAGTCAAAGGGGAAGCCAGATTCGCTTAAACACCATGTTATTAATTTAACAAGGTGAGTGATTCCTTTAACAAATGTAGCAAGAAAAGTTGTAAAATGGGGCAAAACTCACTTAACAAATTTCTCATTTAACAACATAAATTTTGGGCTCAATTGTGGTGGTAAGTTGAGGACTGCCTGTAGTGATATAGAAAGAAGGAACAGAGTAGCGCAAGAAAGGAACACATTTATCCATCAACTCAATGGATAAGCATAGGTTACAGAAGGCTGCAGATGGCCCGGTGTACACACCTCCCAAATACCAACTGCATAGTGAGATGGTGCGTGTCCTATGTGCTGATTGATTGATCTGACTTCCTGTTCTGTGCTTTGCTGTTTGAGCACTCCTAACCAGAACTAACATTCGCAGATGTATAAATGCAACAGCTACGTCTCTGAATGACAGACGCATATTTTCTCTGACCTGCAGTGATGGAGAAGTCTGATGTATCAGAATCTAGTCTGAAGCAAAATTTTGTAATTGCTCATTCCAGCTATACTTATTTTGTAAATTAAATGAGATCAGATTTAGATTTGGTAATCATTTCCAGGTTTTGGAATATAACCCTCTTCCTTCATAATAAACTTGCTTCACAATAAAATACAATATTCCTTTCCAACTACAAGTAAGAAATTTAAATGTTCAGGATTCAAAAAACTTTTGGCTCCATTCTATTATTTCTACCTTGCATATGATTACAGAAACTTAGTTTAGTCTATCTGTAAATCCACTGGGGCCATGGAGGATATGAAATAGCAGGATTTTGTTGACATGCCTTCCATCTCTGAAGCACAAATGGACAGCAAAAAACCCTACCATTTATCTAATGCAGGAAGTACCTGTACAGTACAAGTATAGATTGAGTACAACAAGATGAAAGACCAGGAAAGGAAGGGTTACTGTAGGGCATACATGTGTAAACAAGACTCAGAATAACAAAAACATTTCGTTCATATTCTCGAAGAAATAGCTTCTCTTCAATTTCCATTGACCAGTTCATTGCTTTCATCCTCAGCCCTTCCTTCTGACCTCTTCTCCAAAAACTGAGGTTCAAGCTCAGATAACATTCAACCACACAGGACCAACGACTGATCTAGATAGCATTTGGCTGTGGGGATCCCTTGAAGGTGTTTCTTACCCAGACACAACAAAGTTGAGTCAGTCTCTCTAAAGTCACAGAGTTGGAAGGAATTATTTACATTGCCGTCAGCCTCCTGTTCAGCGCTGACATTCCAAGTAGATGGTTGTTTAGCTTCTCCCTGAACTCATCCAATGAAAGTCATCTCACCACTGTTGGAAAATTGCATCTAATGTTCAGTTACATTCTGCTTTCCTGTAGCTTAAATACACTATTCCATAAAAAAAATCTGATCTCAACCTTCTTTTCCCCCTGATGTTTCTGAAGCATGCACGTTGAAACATACAGGGTCATCTTTTCTCAAGGTTAAATATTGATACCAACATAGTAAACATTCCATATTTCTTCGTAAGTCTTGGTTTCTAGTCTCCTGATCATCCCTGGCTGCCTGCTCTAAATCCTTCTTAAACCATGGTTGCCTAAAACAAGAGGCAATATTTGAAACAGATATTTAATCAAAACAGAATATAGTGCAAAAATTACATCTGCCTTTTTTTTATAGACCTATCATTCTGCTGGTTCATATTCAGTTCACAATCAACTCTTAGTCAAACATCTTTTTCACAAGTACAATTTATTTACCCCTCCAGGTACCTTCCAAATCAAATAAACTTGGAATTTCTCTGTTTGTTTTTATTCATATCAGCAACTAATACCCTTGAATTGCAGATTCATTTCATTTAGAGCAAAAGGGTATTACCAAGCCATGTTGTTATCCTTTTCAAGGCATCAAATCTGCCTTTTCATTCAGCTCTTCAGATTTTCTGATGAAGGCATACTTTTTGTTAGAAAAAAACTAAACCAAAATAAGTGCCTTTTTGTCCCTACTTCTACTATTTTGTTATATTCACTGTGCAATTGCAATCAGTTGTATCAGTACATTGGCAATATATGATTTTTTTTCTCTTTTAATGTGAACATTTCAATATAAGCCCTTTCTATGTCTCCTTCCCTAACTCAGTTCACATTATTGTCTTGATACCAACTTCACAATTCTACAGTCTGTATGATTCTCTGTGACCTAAACCTCTTTCCGTTTCCTATATTTGTTCTTACAGCTTTATGTTTTCACTAAGCTTTTCGTGTAACTACATTGGCTTCTTCTCCTGTTATTTTTTCATCTCGGTAGAATTGTTTCCAATTTCCTTTTAATATCTCCATCTTTAAAAAACCCTTTTCCAGCAGTTTTTCTTTCAAGGGCATCCTACTTTTAACTGCTGTTTATTTAATTTGTCTTTTAGAATACGTTTGTGGTTTTAGGTTCCTTAAAATTAAGCATTAAATATATGATCTAAACTGTAAGTCACCCAGAGTCATTTTGCAGGGTGAAAAGGACAGCATGCTTAATAAATAAATTACATTGTCCATTTCCCCCCAATGTTCCTACTTTTTCCTCAGTGAAGTCTTCCCTACCAATTAGCTCACCGGGATTTTTTTTTTCTTTTGGCTGATGAGCAACACAGCAATGCTTTAAATTAATAAAACCCCTGTGGAAAACACTAAGATTCATAGTTTGAGTAACATGACTTCTTTTTAAATTGGCGCAAGGAATGAGACAGGGTACATTTAATATTCCTAAACGAGCAACGATAGTGTTCCTCCAGCTATACTCACCACTATCCATTATCATTAGCAGAAAATCAGCTACTCTAAGTATACCACAAAAGTGGTGGTTTGGGGGGGGTGGGTTTGAGAGTTTTCCTTAGCTTAGTATACTACCACCCCTAAGGCTAAAACAAAAACAAAAAAACAAAAACAAAATCACCCCAAATTATTGACAGAGCAAGGAAGAGAAGACCAAAACAAAAAACCCTTTTTATTTTAAATGTTATTTCTGATCATGTACATTTAAAATAATTAGGTATATTCAGTGTAATTATTTGTATATATAGCAATTCCTCCTTACGTTATCCTGAAAAATCTTTTGCAGATTTGCGCCACCCATCACAAGTTTTCAGACTTGATCAATAGCTGTAGGGAGATTGGTTTTTGAAAAGAGAGGAAAACCAAGATCGAGAACTGAAAACTGCAGTATTTCTATTGCTAATAGATATTCCACACTGTATTTTAGGATGCATTACTACTTCTGCCTTTTGGAATCTCACAAACCCACAAAATCTTTTATTAACTAAATTATGAATTACAACTCATTGATTGAAAAAAGGTTTATAAACCTTCAACAATATTCTAACTGGCAGGCAACATTAACTGTCTAACAGAGCACTAAAGCCAGATATCAGAACTTGCTTGAAATTCATGCACGAACCTCAGAAAAATCTTCTAATTTTAGCCTCAGTTTATGTACTTTAAACAATTTGAGAAGCCTAGCTGTTATTTTGATGATATACAGTTTTATACAATTTCCATGATGGATATATAGAATAGGCTGAACAAGGAACATGCATGGACATGGCTGGTAGGGCGAGAATAATAAATGAATAACTGTGAAATAAACAGCCGTCAATGTGAGAACATCTGTGTCACACCTAAAAACACTTTTGTGAATGACCACTATTAATAATTTCTACATTTCACTTCCTTGTTTATTATTTATCATTCCTCTATCATCACATAAACTTGTATGATGCCCGATTCTCAATGATTGAGCAGTTCACAACAAAGAAACTACAATAAATTGATCATTCTTTCAAATGCCATAAGACAGTCATAAATGGACTGAAGCTTCTGAGTCAAAATTATGAGAATGATATAAAAACTACTAGACCATTAAAATGTACAATTTATTCCAAGCTATTACATTCTAGTTATTACATTCTAGATAGAATTACTTGAATTAGTTTAATGTCACTGATTCAGAACTCTGGTCATCCAACACCTATGAAAGCTTCCAAATTTATCCATCGATTTGCAACATCTACTGATCCTCTTGCTGAGAAGTCTGAACCTGTCATTAGGCAGAACAAAATCTGTTGACTCAGGTCAACCATCAGGACAAACAACTCACTACTTATTTATTAATTACCATTAAATTAAATATTATATCACAACAGGAGCTGCCATCTGAATTTTCTGATCCAGGCATCAGGATTTGTTTGAAACTGATCTTTTCCTATCAGTACTTACTGCACAACATGAACCTCTATATTTCGATGTACAAAGCAATCAGACACGCTCTGGACAGATTTAGCCTTTATTCCTATGAAACAAATAAAAATAAAGCTAGATCAATTTTTTAAAATAACTTGACTGCATTAATCTAGTGACATCTTGTATCACAAAAGACTGGTGTATACATTCAGGGTTGTACAATCAGTGCAGAAGAGAAAATGAAATATAAGTGAAGACTGCTGCACTTGAAAGTTAAACGGATTTTCTGCAATGCAATAAATATTTTGACCACTAATCAGAACTGACAAGCAACAAATTTAAAATCCCTATTATTTTACCCCACTACCTTGTGACTTCAAAAGGAATGCACTGAGGACTGTTACAGAGGAAGCCGATGCATAGTCCAGTTGGACTTGCGAAGGAAAATGCACTTTTCCTCTGCACATCTTTCCCTGCTTATACATTCTTGAGATGTCTCCCGCGCGCGCACACCACGGATTCTAATTCCTTGCGGATGCATCCTTTCTCTCCACCTCACCTCACGAGTTCCCAAACCTCCAGGCAATCAATCCTGTTATTTCAGGCAATCAACCCACTTTTTTCCCCAAATGCCCTCCTTTATTATTATTGTTTTTAACTTTAAACTTTATAGACACATATTCTGCTAGCCCTACCTAGTCCCCCAAAGGGGAATATTGTACATTGCTGACTCTTCCTCGCCGCGGCAGATGGCTACGATGCAAAGGGCAGCCCCCAGGCATCTGGAGGGCACCCGCTGGATGGCTGCCTTTCTCCTAACCGTGCTTGCTCGAGCACTGTTATTTCTTGAAAAGCAAGTTTAGGATCCCGCTTTGGTGACAGGTACGAAACTCACGCGCCATGACGGGTTCACACGTTCCTCAACGGGGGTGGGGGGAGAGAAGAGAGTCCCCCGACAAGCCACCACACTACGGGGAAAGGAGGGCGAGAGGCGGTTGGGGAATTAGCAGACGGCGGTAGCATCCAAGGTTGCAGAACCTCTTCGCCCTTTCATACGCCGTCCGCATTCTCACGCTCCAAGTTAGCCCTCGCGCAAAAGAAAGGAACAGCCAGCCTCCCTCTCCTCGAAAGGAGCCCAAGGACGGAGCTCCCCGCTTCGCCTCTTCAATCCCCCCTCGCCCTCCCCGCTAAGAGCCCGGGAGCTCCGACGCTCCCTTTCCCTTGGTCTCCAAAAGGGAACCCCCTGCGCCCGGGCTGCACATCCCTCTCCTGCTTGGCCCTTCCCCCTCGCCCCCCCACTCCAAGAGCGCGGGGCGCTCTCTCTCGCCCCTTCCCCTAAAGCTCCCGACCCCCCTCACCCCCGCGCTAAGGCAGCGCTCCGGGCTTCCCGCGCCATCTTAAGCCCCGCTGGCTTTACGCACCCGGGGATTGTGGCGTTCCGCAAACTCCATCCGTCTCTCCCGCGCGCGTTTTCTTCGCCGCTCGGGCGCAGGAGAGGCCGGTGGGTAGGAGCACAACCGAGCCTGAATCCGCCTGCGTGTCTGGCTCCTCCCCGGCGCCGCCTTCTCCTCCTCCTCCTCCTCTCCTCCTCTTTGCCCCTCGGAGCGGGTAGGGTAGCGGCGAGCCCCAGAGGCAAGGCTGCCAATGCGTTTCGCGCCCGCGGCTTGCAAGGCCTTTGTTGAAGAGAGAGAGGCTGTGTGTGCGTGTCCCCCTCCTTGCCTGGGTCCACCAGTGTCGAACAGCTGGAGCGCATTTCGACGCTGAGCGTGTTTACTCAAACGCTTGATGAAATCAGCTACGTAGCAAACTGGTTTATCTCCGGGGTAAATGGCTGCATAGCCGGCTGCGGCCAATGCATTCCAAAGGTATTCCAAACCGCGGGGAAAATCTAGTTATACCATATATTCTTTCATGGTTTGTACGCTCTATTTGCCGCCCTTTAGTTCTGGTCTATACTCTTCCCTCACATATGTTTGTAGCAATCACACATTGGGCTGGATTTGCACATTTGTCCACAGTTTTGTTTCACGCATAGTGAGGCGATATCTCCGGTGCAGGATGATTAAAGAAGGCTACTGAAGAATCCAAGCATGAGACCATCACTTAAATTTCATGCAACTCTTGCTTTGTGAAGGTGATTGCTTATTTGCATATGATCACCCATACAGCAGAACAGGTAGTGGATTTCTTCAAAGTGAGGTCAGAAACTTTACTCCGGGTGTTTGTTTTAATCCTTTTTGAAAGTTGCAGCAACTTCTTTAGGTTATGAAAAGCATGTCTTACTATTAGAAATCTCAAAAGTTCCTGTTATTTCTTTGGCAGCTTAAAGGCTTCCTACCAGTTAATTTATTTTCAGATTTCCAGAAGGCAAGATATCCCCATACAATTCTTTCATTAAACTATTATCACCCTTTTTTTTTGCAGGAGCCAGAATCCTGGGACATATATATTTGCTTTCCATTCATGGAGTCTGTTAATTTCTTGTTCTGTTGATCAACTGCTTATGCATCAGCAACCACACTCCCAGACATTGTTCAGAGAGGTGTACTGTTTTCCTTCAGTATAAATCTCCCATTTAAGAAGGGCCCACAAGTTCTTTAGGTCAGGTGAGGAGGGGGCCATGTCATTATTCTTTCATCTTTCAGGCCTTTACTGGCTAGCCACACAGTGGAGTACTTCAATGCATGCACTGGAGCATTGTCCTGCATAAAAATCATGGTCTTGAAAGATGCAGACTTCTTCCTGTAACACTGCTTGAAAAAAGTGTCTTCTAAAAATTGGCAATAGGTTTGGGAATTGATTTTGAGTCTATCTTCAATCCGAAAAAGCTGGATTTAACCTGGAAATAAGGAGAAACTTTCTGACAGTGAGAACAATCAACCAATGGAACAGCTTGCCCTCGGAAGTTGTGGGAGTGTCATCACTTGAGACTTTCAAGAAGAGATTGGACTGCCATTTGTCAGAAATAGTGTAGGGTCTCCTGCTTGGGTGGAGGGTTGGACTAGATGACCTACAAGGTCCCTTCCAACTCTGATTATCTGTAAACTAGCTCATTTTTAATAATACCAGCCCATACCAGTACCCCACCTCGCTTGTGTCTGAGTCGAAGTGGAGCTCTCTGCCTGTTACTGATCCAGCCATGGGCCCATCCATCTGGTCCAAGTGTCACTCTCATCTCATCAATCCATAAAACCTTTGAAAAATGTGCCTTCAGGTATGTCTTGGCCCAGTCTTGCCATTTTAACAAGTGTCTTGTTCATTGGTGGTCCATGTTTTAGCTTTCTTTTCCTTGGCCGTACCTCTGAGCACTGAACACCTTGCACTTCTGGGCACTCCAGATAAGATGCAGTTCTGGAATCTGACATCACTGGAGGATAATGGGTTCCTGGTAGTTTCACGTTTGATTCTTCTCAAATCTTTGGCAGTTAATATGCATCTTTTTTTTCTCAACACATTTCTTGCAACCCTTTTAACTATTTGCAACAAAACATTTGATGGTTTTGTGGTCACACCCCAATATCTTAACAATTTCAAGAATGCTGCATCTGAAAGACTTTTGACAATTGTTGACTTTTCAGAGTCAGTTAAATCTCTTTTTTGGTCCATTCTTCCTGAGGAAAAGGAGCTGCCTAATAATTATGCACCCCTTGATATAGGGTGTTGATCTCCATAGGCCACCCTCCCTCATTACACAAATACACATCGTCTGATATGCTTATATCCAATAAGCATTCAAGTTTATATAGCTTGGAGGTGGAAAATGTGCATTAAAATGATGATACAGTCAAAATACTCACCTACTAATTGTGCACACACTGTAGATTTATTCAGTTGATTGATTAATGTGGCCACCACCCATGTCAAACGTGTCTAGGCAGCTAAGGGAATAAAAACAAGAAAAAATATAACTGGGATGTTATATTTTTAATTTTTCATTGTTGTAATTGTTTTTAATTGTTCTATTTTAATTTTTATTGTTTCTGGTTTATGTTTACGTGTGCTTGCTGGAGTTCTTTAAATAAGGGGCTATAAATTTAATTAATAAATAATAAAACAATAAGTAAGGAATATAGGAGCCAAGATAAAACTAAGGAGCATAATCAACATAAACCACAACATGGGCTTAATTGGACACCTCAGGGTCCAGGCTTACTATTTTGACTTTGACTATTAAGTCAAATCTTGTGTTAATATATTATGGTGTTTGGAACCCTGACTTATTAAACATGTCATTCTAAGAGTGTTTTTTTCTGAACCATACCTGAATGAGATCATGACATCTAGCTTGCAAACTCAGAAAAAAAAAAGAATTCTTACTGATATATTGAGTCTTGAGTCAATTTTTGTTTCTCAGAATGCTTTATTCTTGGTTCTTTCATACACTTAGGATGTACACTTGAACAACACTATGATTATTCAGGAAATTTACATGTGTAAATTTCCATATATATGAGACACAGTTTAGTGTAGCATATTATTTCTTGTAATGACCTCGTGAATACAGGTTCTCCTGAACTTATAATCACAAATGAGGTCAAAATTTCTGTTACTAAATTAGACATTTATTAAGTGAGTTTTGATCCATTTTTATGGTACTTCTTGCCACAGTTGAAAAGTGAATCACTTCACTTGTTAAATTAGTAACATGGTTGTTCGTTGAGTTTAACTTGCTCATCAGAAAGTTGAAAATGGTACTTACATGAGCCCAGGACATTACAACTATCATAAATATGAGTCAGTTGCCAAGCATCTGAATTTTGATCACATGACCATGGGGTTGCTATAATGGTCATAAGTATGAAAATGGACAAAAAATCACTTTGTTCAATGATGTAACTTTGAATGGCCACTAAATAAACTGTTGTAAGTCAAGGACTGACCATTCTCAATTAGGAAGTTGGGAGATACCACTCTCCTCCCATTGTTCATCTGCAGCAGGCATTTGCATCTTCAGTAATTTACTCCATTAATTACACTACCTATTACCCCTTGGGCATCCTTTTTAGGGTACCTGGTATTTTGTACTGTGGAAATGAAATGTGTATGCCAATCTTTGTGGGGAGCTTTTTTTAAAAAAAATAAAAAATAAACAAGAATTCTCGGTCAGGGGTGGCCTTTTTTTTTTAATGAAAAGTTACTCCAAGAAAATTTCTCAGAATTTTCTAGCCCTAAGAAGTAGGTTGGGCTGAGAGTTGAATGGTTGGCAGAAGATGGGCCATTCCGGTCTGTATAGCTTTCACCTGTATACCCAACAGAGAGATTCTTTATCAACACCATATGTTGTATCATTATTTATAACCAATTTATAGACTTTATAGTCCACCAGCCAGAAGGGGTCTTAAACATACCTTCTCAGGGTTATAATCTACAAGAGGTGAAAACTAAGGAAAGCCAAATACAAGAATCAATGTTGAAAGTCATAAGAACCTTAGTTTTTCTGGATGAATTTTCTGTTGAATACTTAAGAGCTATGGATGACAGAAAGGCTAGCTGATGAATTCTTAGGAAGGCTTATGGTAGCCCTGCCAGGTAGTTCCCGACGTACAACGGGGACCCGAGTTTCCATTGCCAAGCAAGGTGATGGTTAAGTGAGTGATGCCCGATTTTATGCCTTTTTTGCCATAGTTGTAAAGCAAATCCTTGTAATTGTTAAGTGAATTACGCAGTTGGTAAGCTAATCTGGCTTCCCCCAATGGACTTTACTTGTTGAATGCCAGCTGGGAAGTTGGAAATGGCAATCAATGATCTTGTGATGCTGCAAGCATCATAAATAGTTGCCAAGTGCCAGAATTTGGATCATGTGATTGTGGGAATGATGTGATGATTGTAAATGCAAAGATTAATTGTAAGTCACTTTTCAGCACCATGGTAACTTCGAAAACTAAACAAATGACTATAAGCCTGTAATTTTCGCAAAAATATGTTTCCAAAAGGAATAATTTTGCCCCCATATGTTTTCTATGTAATTCAGAAAACAAAGAAAGTAATAAGCCAAATCAACCAACCAACCAATTTAGTGTGATTTGCTGGTCTAAATGGTTGGGAATTAACTGAATCCTGACTGCATGCATTGTGCAGTTGCGTGCAAATGTTACATGCCATAGGTCACATTCCATGTTTTCATGAATCCCTAAATGAATAGAAGCTATCACAACCTCTACAAGGACAAACATCTTTCTGCAAATCTGAACATGTACTTAATTATTCATGTGCAGCTGTTGACAGATTCAGAATAAGAAAACAGTCAATATGGCAAGTGCAGAAGTTTGAATAATCTGTCAGTAGTTCCTAACATCTCTTTGGCAGAAATAATAGTTTCCAGATGTTTCCTACACCTAACCAAAAGCCTTTCTATGCTTGCTTTGTTTTATTTTTCCATTGTTCATTACGGAATTTTAATAGTTCGCTTCTGGCATGCACTATGACCTTTGTTTCGGGAAAGCATCTTTTAAATCATGGGTCTCCAATCTTGGCAACTTTAAGACTTGTGGACTTCAACTCCCAGAGTTCCTCAGCCAGCA